AGCCCTATTCTACTCACCTCAGAGACTTCATCGTCACCAGTCCTATCCATCGCAGTATGTTCTTTGTCGTCACCAGCCCTGTCCGTCACTGAGCCTGTTTCCTCACCAAACTTTCTCCTGCACGCACCACTGAAGCAGCCATTCCCTCAGCTCCACCTCCGCTGGCATCCTTCAGCCCTTCAGCTCCACCATCAGCCCTGATCTGCTTGGGGCTTCGGTCCCCAACTCTACCCTGGAGTGTCAACCTGTTAGCTCTGCCGCTATCCTCCGAGCCCATCACTCCACCTCGGCCCATCAACCAGTCAAGTACAGTTATGAGTACTGGTCTGCGACTTGTCTCTTCACCCCTTCGGCTCCAATGGGTTCCTCCTTCTCTCTGGTTTCTCCTCAGTCCTCCGACATTCTGGCTTCACCTCGGTCTCTAGGACCTTCTGTGTGGCTTGGTCTCTGCGGCTCTGACTGGGTCTCCACCTCCAGCTGCTTCTCCTCAGTCAGTCGTCTCCTTGGCTTCACCTAGCATCCCTAGTTAAGTCAAGTCAAGTCACCTTTATTTATATAACGCTTTTAACAATACAGATTGTGTCAAAGCAACTTTACAGCATTAAATAGGAAAATAGTGTGTCAATAATGCAAAATGACAATAGTAAACACTCAATTTTCAGTTAAAGGCAGTTCATCATTGAATTCAGTGATGTCATCATCAGTTCAGTTTAAATAGTATCTTTGCAATCACTTGCAATCAAGTCAACAATATCGCTGGAAATGAAGTGTCCCCAACTAAGCAAGCCAGAGGCAACAGCGGCAAGGAACCTCACTGGGGATCTGTCTCTGGGGCTCATCTAGTTGTCCTGATCTCCGCTGTCATTCAGGGCTGTAGAGGTCATCTCTCGTTCCTGATCCACCATTTGGACTGGATACAGCCTGGATCCGGGTGACTGCAGTGACCATCTGATATGGATACAGACTGGATCCGGTGGCTATGGTGACCTCGGAATAAGAAAGAAACAAGACTAATATTAGCGTAGATGTCATTCTTCTAATGATGTAACAAGTACATCGGGTGTTATGGGAAGTGTTCCCGGTTCTGGTTGTCCTAATTAATGCAGCCTAACAATCCTTTAATGGATTTGAATATTAGAAATGTGTTAGTGTGTAATGTGTAAGCCAGGTTAAAGAGATGAGTCTTTAAATGATGTTTTATTAACAAAGTTCGGGAGGAGCACGTTCAGCTAATTAACCTAATTAACACGAGAGGAGCACAATCAGTAATCAACCCAATTAACAAGATAAGAGGTGTGTATATATACACAGCAGACTTACCTCTGTTCCCTGACAGTTTTTCCCTCCGCCACCCCTTCTCTGCACTTACAACTATTTCTGTCCTAACCTGTAGGGAGGGAGGGTACTCTGGGTTCGGGCCAAAATTCCGAGCTCGGAGCCCTCCCCTCGGACAGCACGCCAAATACGCATAACCTTTACACTGTTTATTATATGTAAGTGCGAACTCGTGAATCTAGATTTAAACTGACAGAGTGTGTCTGCCTCCCATCTAGTTGTCCTGATCTCCGCTGACATTCAGGGCTGTAGAGGTCATCTCTCGTTCCTGATCCACCATTTGGACTGGATACAGCCTGGATCCGGGTGACTGCAGTGACCATCTGATATGGATACAGACTGGATCCGGTGGCTATGGTGACCTCGGAATAAGAAAGAAACAAGACTAATATTAGCGTAGATGTCATTCTTCTAATGATGTAACAAGTACATCGGGTGTTATGGGAAGTGTTCCCGGTTCTGGTTGTCCTAATTAATGCAGCCTAACAATCCTTTAATGGATTTGAATATTAGAAATGTGTTAGTGTGTAATGTGTAAGCCAGGTTAAAGAGATGAGTCTTTAAATGATGTTTTATTAGCAAAGTTCGGGAGGAGCACGTTCAGCTAATTAACCTAATTAACACGAGAGGAGCACAATCAGTAATCAACCCAATTAACAAGATAAGAGGTGTGTATATATACACAGCAGACTTACCTCTGTTCCCTGACAGTTTTTCCCTCCGCCACTAAAGAGATGGGTTTTTAATCTAGATTTAAACTGACAGAGTGTGTCTGCCTCCCGAACCATGTTAGGTAGATTATTGCAGAGTTTGGTCGCTAAATAGGAAAAGGATCTGCTGCCCGCAGTTGATTTTGATATTCTAGGTATTATCAAATTGCCAGAGTTTTGGGAACACAGCGGACGTGTAAACTATGATGCGATAAGAGCTTGCTCAAATACTGAGGTGCTAAACCATTTTGGGCTTTATAAGTAATTAGCAAGATTTTCAAATCTATACAATGTTTAATAGGTAGCCAGTGCAGTGTTGACAGAACCGGGCTAATATGGTCATACTTCCTGGTTCTAGTAAGAACTCTAGCTGCTGCATTTTGGACCAGCTGGAGTTTGTTTATTAAGCGTGCAGAACAACCACCCAATAAAGCATTACAATAATCTAACCTTGAGGTCATAAACGCATGGATTAACATTTCTGCATTTGACATTGAGAGAATAGGTCGTAATTTAGATATATTTTTGAGATGGAAAAAATGCAGTTTTACAAATGATAGAAACTTGGCTTTCGAAGGAAAGATTGCAATCAAATAGCACACCTAGGTTCCTAATAGATGACGAAGAATTGACAGAGCAGCCATCGAGTGTTAGACAGTGTTCTAGGTTTTAACATGCGGAGGTTTTAGGTTCAATAATTAAGACCTCTGTTTTTTCAGAATTTAGCAGTAAGACATTATTCGTCATCCAGTCTTTTATATCTACTATGCGTTCCGTTAGTTTTTCATATTGGTATGTTTTGCCAGGTTGCAAATAATTATAGAGCTGAGTATCATCAGCATAACAGTGAATACTAACAGAGTGTTTCCTGATGATAACATGTAAAGCGTGAAAAGTAACGGCCCTAGTACTGAGCCTTGAGGTACTCCATACTGCACTTGTGATCGATATGATACCTCTTCATTCACTGCTACGAATTGATGGCAGTCAGATAAGTACGATTTGAACCATGCTAATGTGCTTCCAATAATGCCAATAAAGTTTTCCAGTCTATTTAAAAGAATGTTGTGGTCAATAGTGTCGAACACAGCGCTAAGATCCAATAGCACTAATAGAGAGATACAATCACGATCAGATGATAAGAGCAGATCATTTGTAACTCTAATGAGAGCAGTCTCAGTACAATGATACAGTCTAAATCCTGACTGGAAATCCTCACAGATCCCATTTTTCTTTAAGAAGGAACATAATTGTGAGGATACTACCCTTTCTAGTATCTTTGAGAGAAAGGGGAGATTCGAGATCGGTCTGTAATTAAGTAGTTCTTTGGGGTCAAGTTGTGCTTTTTTAATGAGAGGCTTAATAACAGCCACTTTGAAGGTTTTGGGGACATATCCTAATGACAATGATGAATTAATAATAGTCAGAAGAGGATCTATGACTTCTGGAAGCACCTCTTTTAGGAGCTTAGATTAAATAGAATCTAACATACATGTTAGACGCATGCCCATTGCCTATCTACGGCAAGCCCCGAGGGGATAAATGCATTACACACACACACACACAAACACACACACACAGAGACACACACACACACACACACACACACGTAATGAGCGCCAGTACATCAATAATTAGTGCAATAAAGTCTGTTACAATAAGATAAAGATGCCCAGTTGTTTGACACCATAGCTCATGTCTTGTGTGTGTATGTTTCACAAAGACACTCACACCCATAAAACTATTAGTTCATTTTTTAAATGTCATGCTAAACATTTCTTCTTACATTAAGCATTTTAAAAAATGTGGGGTTACAACTGACTTATTATATATTTTCCTTGAATGTCATGAAATTGCATGTAGAATAAAAGCTATGTCAGCTTGAAATTTATAACTGTAACCTAAAAATAAAAACAAATTCCATGGTTAACAATTAAATGTGAATGGTTAAAAAAAAACAGCAGCTCATGACACTGAATAACAAAAGAACACAAAAAGCTAAAAAGAGCCTACACAAGGAAAAAAATTGAAAATGATTTATTGTCTGTGATCATTTAAATTGGAAGGTAATTTTGATAGTAATATAAAAATAATTGCTGTGACGCTACATAAACTAAATGACTGAATTCTATTAACACAAACAGAGAAAAGCACAGAAACGCATGGTCACTCAGCAGGACACACACACACACTGATCTTACTGTCTATATGTGGATTTATTACACACATTAATTCTAATTCATGTTATTTCACAGACAGAAGTTCAGCTGCAGTATTAATGTAATGAAGTGAACAGAAGAGACTCTATAACATCTCACTGTTACTGATTTATCATGCAGCTCAAAGCATTATGGGTAGAATCTCTCATCAGTCTATTCTGATTCATCAACACAGTTTCACTGATGATCCAACAGAAACCCAAAACCCAGGATAGAGCGGCTGAGTGAATGTGGTCTGGACTGTGTGGATGAGGTTCATTGTGTCAGAGATGCTGTAGAAGGACAGAGTTCCTGCACTGTGATCCACAAACACTCCTATTTTCCTGCTGATGGACTTTACTGGGAGAACAGTCTCTATGTTATTGTGTCTGAATGAGTAGCTGAAGGAAGAGCAGATCAAACTCCAGGACTGATCATTATATCCAAACCAACACTCATTACCCCGTCCCTTCCTGTTGATGCTCTTATATGACACTGATATAAACACATCTCCACTCCACTGCAGCTCCCAGTAACAGCGTCCCCACACACTCTCTCTACACAACACCTGAGCAGAATAATCAAATCTGTCTGGATGATCAGGATACTGGTGATCTGTGTCAGTGGCAGTAATCACTCTGTTTCTCTCAGACAGACTGAGTTTTCTATTCCTAACACATTTCTAATATGATGTTCTCCATGATATGAGCTGATGATGGACTGGTTTCTGAGAGCAGATGAATCTCCAGGACTTTACCTCTGTCTGAGATCTTCTTGAGCTCCTCTTTGCAGAAATCCTCCAGTTTGTCTCTCAGCTGATTGACAGATTCTCTCAGGCCATCAGAAGAAAAGAGAAAACTGAAAGAATCATCATTTACGTCTGTAGATTCAGGAGGTGCTGAGCGAGACTGGAAACTCTACAGAAAACAGAAAACAGAAATCAAAACTTATCAGCTCTACACTTCTATAGTCTTTTCAGCCATTTATTTTTTCAAATGAGTGAGAGAGATGTGGCTGCGCAAGTGAACAAACGTCATGTTTATATTTCCATGTTCAGCACTTGGGATAAAATAAATTATTCTAGACCAGAGTTTTAATGAAGGCTTCTATTAAACTACTGTATGGAATACTGAATGTAATGTATATTGGGGCAAATATTTGCTAGTAATTAGAGATGCACCGATTGCAATTTTCTTGGCCGATTCCGCTTTTTGTGTGACTTGCATGCCTCCTGTGTGGCTTTGATTGGAACTATATTATTTGGTGAAATTGAGCAAAACCACTCCAAATTGTATCTAAAATGTAAGTCACTCAATTTAACTTTTCTTTTATTGAAGTACTATTTTATTTATTTTTATTTATTCACACACTCACTCAGGCTGCGCGAGCCTCATCTGACACAGCATAATACATTCAATACAGTCACCATTTACACTGAATGCAATAAAATCACAATCATTCTCGCATGAACATTTTTGCTTCCCTAGTTATTTTTGTTATTGGCGTTTTAATAAGGCTTCTTGTCCGGTCAGGTCAAGTAAAATTCTCTCTCACTTGCCCCTTTAAAAAATCTACTTGTCCCAGACAAATGTTATTTGAGCCCTGTGTTTCCCCAATGGTTTACATTGGCCCTACACATATTACAAATTGTGAACTTTGTCTCTTCTTCACTCACAGTGAAGAACTTCCACGCTGATGACATGTTTACATGCGGATGTGAGTGAAAGTGTGACGTCAAAACGGACCAATCAGAAGAATCAGCAGACTATAGCCTCGGTTATACTCCAGTTCGGATGCGTACACGGACAGCTGCAGACAGCACAGATGCGGAGTACTTGTATTTATACTACTGAAAGTGTATGGTTTTGTTCCATACATGCGCATTAGATCGGCTTAAACAATAAACAAACATGTAAACAGTAAACAAACAATTGCCAAATTAGGCAATTTCCCTCCATGAATTATTGCACATCTGGCTGTCTTTATGTTGTTTTATTCTTCACATAGCTTCTCTTCAAATTCGACGTCCATGTTCTTTTTCCAGCGCATGCGCAGTTGGTGCTTTTGTAGTCTACTGACAAAAAATGTGAGGCATGCAGATTAAATTATATCTATAATTATATACCTATAATTATAACACAGGCTTAATTGACCGGCCGGTCTGGGCCAATCATGCAGAAAATTGGGCCGGTCGATCGGTGCATCTCTACTAGTAATGCTATAATACTTGATTTCACTAGTAGCCTAGATTAGATTTTAAAAAGTACATTATTTTACTGGAAATGCACTTTTTAAATGTTTCTATTGAATGCAGCCACTTATAATCACTATAAAAAGCAAAAACAATATTACACAATAAACAATAGAATTGTTAAATTGCAAAAGCATTAAATAATTTGATTACATACTGATTCAGTGACAGTGTGCAAATTGGTATGTCTAACTCAGTTCTGTATTTTCAGCAAAGCAGAATTATGAATATTTCTATGCTGGTGTGACCATTCACAGAAACACAATTTCAGTACTTATACACAAAAGTATTTAAATGTAATTGTATTCTTACTGTCACTTCCACTAATTACATAAATCATGTTTTTTGGTAGTTTTTCACTGCAAAACAACATTGAAAATCCTGTAAGTATTGCCACAATTTTTGAAAAAAGCTGCAGCATATCCAGTCATTTTAAGCCAAATATAAGTCCCTTAAATCCTGATGGGCTGATTGCTAATATATAGCCTCACTTCATGTTTGGGGACTTCATGATCAAATTCATCAATGTGTTACAGGCAAATAAAGATCCGTTTCATCACGTTTGAGGATCATTTGATCTAATTTAGATTAACTTTACTCAGAATTGGTACTATTGAGTTCACTGATTTCACAATGACATAAAAAAATCAGAAGGAACAAATGAGGTAAAAGTTCAAATGTTGATGTTTTGAACTGTTGGTGGTGCTATTGATGTTTGACAGCTAAATATATCTTCCAGAAGAAAGAGCTCAGAGAAATGATTCCTAAGATATTTCCAGAGCTGAAAACGGCATCTCTTTCAGAAAAAGATGATCTGATGAGAGTCTGACTGATGATTATATAATAAGATACTAATGAAATGTTTCTCTGTGAGTCTCTGTCACAGCAGGTTCTGCTCAAGTCCGCTATGATCCTGTTCTTCTAGATCTGTGTTACCTGCAGGAACTGGATGTGATCCTGTGTGTGTGAAAGCTGCTCCAGCTCAGCGTCTCTCCTCCTCAGATCATTGATCTCCTGCTCCAGTCGCTCCAGTCGTCCTTCAGCTCGACTCACTGCAGTCTTTTCCTGATCTCTGATCAGCCATATCAGCTCAGAGCGGCTTCTCTTAATGGAGCGGATGAGCTCAGTAAAGATCCTCTCACTGTCCTCCACTGCTGTCTGTGCAGAGCGCTGTTAGGACACACAGTGATTCAGGCTTCAGTGAGTCTGAACTGAGACTGAGACAAACTTCTCTTCTTCTCCAGACTCACCTTATGAGACTCCACAGCCTCTCTCAGCTGCTGAAGATCTTTCTCTCTCTGCTGGATTCTCTGCTGGAACGCCTTCTGCGTCTCCTTCAGCTGCTTCTGCAGGACAAATGGATGATAGTGAATGTCACAGAAAATGCCTCAAAGGTACGAACGTCGGGGTCGTAGAACCTGACGAAGGTGAGCGGCATAGACCAACTCTCAGCATTACAAATATCCTGCATAGCCACACCCGACAGGAAGGCCTTGGAGGCCACCACACTTCGGGTCAAGTGAGCCCTGACCCCCAAGGGCAAGGGGAGACCAGAGGACTCATAGGACATGGAGATGGCATCAACGATCCACCGACTGAGGGTCTGCTTAGTAGCAGGCAGACCCCTCTTGGAAAGACCATAACAGACAAATAATTGGTCAGACTTCCTCCACATCACAGCTCTGTGGACGTATGTGTCCAGTACTTGCGTCAAGAAGGCCTGTAGTACAACGGGCCATGGTAAAGAGGAAGGCACTTTAGGAACGTACCCTGGCCTGGGGTACAGAAAAGCTTTGGCCAAACCAGGCGCAACGTCTAGGAAGGAGGGGGTCACTGACAGGGCCTCCAAATCTCCGACTCTCTTCAGCGATGAGATGGCTAATAGGAAGACAGTCTTTAGTGTCAGAACTCGATCCGAAACCTCCTCTAAAGGTTCAAAAGGAGGTTTACAGAGAGCCTCCAGGACCACAGCCAGGTCCCACGGGGAGACACGAGAGCGTACTGGGGGCCTCATCTCAGCACACTGCGGAGGAAATGTGTAACCATGGTGTGTCTTCCCACAGACTGACCACCGAGAGGGGCGTGGCAAGCAGCTATGGCCACCACGTACACCTTCAGGGTGGAGTGGGTCAACCCTGCGGAGAATCGAGACTGCAAGGACTCCAGCACTGAACCGACCGGGTAGTTAACTGGGTCAAGCTGGCTGCTGGCGATCTCCACACCAGGAAGTGAAGAGTTTCCACTTCAGTGCATACAGTTTCCTCATTGAGGGAGCTCTGGATTGGAGGATGGTCTCAACAACCTCGGTTGAGAGACCGGAAGCTATGAGTTGAGCCCCCTCAGGGGTCACACCCACAGCTTCCACAACTCCGGGCAGGGGTGAATGATCGTACCCTCCGCTTGTGAGAGGAGATCCCTCGTGACGGAAATCTTCCTTGGAGAGCCATCAAGAAGGGAAATCAGGTCCAAAAACCATACTCGGACCGGCCAGAACGGGGCTACTAGCAGCAGACGGACCCCGTCCCGGCACACTCTCTCCAGAACTCCCGGGAGCAGAGCAATCGGGGGAAAGGCATACAGACGAAGCCTCGGCCAAGTCTGTACCATGGCGTCCAGTCCGAAAGGGGCTTGGATGAGTCAGAGAGAACCAGAGGGGACATATCCACCTGAGCCTGGCCAAACATTCTCCAAATCTGACACACCACATCTGGGTGGAGTCTCCATTCCCCGGGCCTCGGCTCCTGTCTCGACAGGATGTCTGCTCCCTGATTGAGATGCCCAGGGATGTGAACTGCTCTCAGCAAAAGGAGTTTCCCTTGGGCCCACACAAGGATCTGGTGCACCAGCCTGTACAGGGGGCGTGAACGCAGACCTCCCTGGTGGTTGATGTAAGAGACCACCGCTGTGTTGTAGGTGCACACCATTACATGATGGCCTCTCAGGTCTGGGAGAAAGCGTTTCAGTGCTGGAAACATGGCAAACATCTCCAGGCAGTTCATGTGCCACATCAGGGCTTCTTGGTCGAAGACTTCTTGGCCAAAAGGATGGTCCTCAGATCGGCCTTCGGCTTCGAAGCCTTCAACCGCGAGTGTCGCCATGAGCCCCGATCCTCACACTCAATCTCTGTGCCTCCCGGTACGAGGAGCGGGCACACGGCTGGGACTGCTCCTGTCCAGCAGCCCCATGAGCTAGAGAGAGCGGCGAGGGATGAACTGCTGAAACGCTGCTTGTTTACAGGCCTCCTGAAACCTGTCGATGACGGAATTGACGGCGTCACCGAACAGGCCAGAAGGCGCAAGCGGGGCGTCGAGAAAGAAGACCCTGTCCTTCTCTTTAATGTCAGACAGGGTCAGCCACAGATGCATCTCCGCGGCCATTAAGGCTGCCATAGACCGCCCGATAGCTTTGGCGGTCTCTTTCGTGGCACAGAGAGACAAATCAGCGCTTCGCCGGAGTTCGTTAATATCATCGGCTTTAACTTCCTCACCCTCATTTAGCAGGTCTGCTTGGTATGCCTGTAATACAGCCATCGTGTGAAGGCATGCACCAGCCTGACCTGCCGCCGTGTATCCTTTGCTCACCAGTGCTGAAGTGGTAAGAAGGTATAGGGCATCGCCCTATAACCACGCTCATTTAGTCCCACAACACTGGAATAATTGACTAACGATGGACTAAAGAGGCAGGCCGAAAATTGGTCTCGCCCACGATCTCGACACCTCGGTGTGGAGATCGGGGAAGAACGGCAAGCCCCGGCGTGGAGGGAGCGGCTTAGACCGTAAAAAGCGTTCATCGAGCTTGTTTTTGGTCGGTTCTGCCTGCTTCTTGGCAGGCCATTCAATATTTAATTTGGCCACAGCGCGAGTTATCACCCTTACGAGCTCCTCATACTGGGTGGACTGAGGGGGTTCATGCCTCCTCGAAGAGAGCCCTCAGGGAGTGAAGCGTCCGCAGTGAGAGGTGCTCGCAATGCAGGCACTCAGTGTGCTTCGCTCCCAAGCAAACAACGCAAAGGCCTAAATTGATGCTTGCTTTTATAGTGCCCGCCCTTGGACTTGTCGTTTGCTTTTGGCAATGCTGCTTTGTTTGATATATTGACAGACAATGGCAAATAAGACACACACACAGAGTGCTTCGCTGAATGACAGAAGCTGCCGCTGTTTCCACCGCACGTGCTTTTATAGCTTCCTAGTCGCTACGTCACCCCGTCCGTGACATCTCGCCAATCCAGTGGACTGAATACACACGTAATTCAGAGCGTGGTCACGCTGAAGGCGTTCCTCAAGCGTCTCGATGCAGCTCGAGTTCCCGAAGGGGAACTACTGAGACTAAATCATCATGTGAAAAGATGAATTCAGTAAAAGTGGAGCTGATAACTAATGGCTGTAGGTTCAAACTCCAGAAATGATTTTCAGTTACAATCATCGTACATGAATTATCGTGAAGATTAAGGCTTGTTTTACACCGCATGCATACATATAGTAAAAGTGAAACTGACACAGACATAGAGCTTCACACTGACAGTGTTTCTGCTGTGTAATTAAGCTGTGACTGTACACTGAAAATAGACTATTGGATCACTGCACTGAGTATTAACTTGATCACTAGTTTTAAATACCTGTTTCTCTGTCCTCTGTGCTGCAGCTGATACAATGTTGTGCTTTTTATGTTCATATTTCGTACACAGCACACAAATGCATTGTTTGTCAGTAATACAGTACATTTCCAGATCTCCAGCTCCAGCGTCACAGTCAGCAGAGAGTTTGGTCTTCTTCAGTTTCTCCACCACTTCAGCCAGCATGGTGTTTCTAGCTAAAGCAGGTCTTGGACTGAAGGTCTGTCTGCACTCAGGGCAGCTGTAGACTCTCATCTGATCCTCCTGATCCCAGCAGCGTTTAATACAGTTCTTACAGTAACTGTGTCCACAGGGAATGGCTACTGGATCCTTCAGGAGATCCAGACACACTGCACACATGAACTCATCTTGAGAAATGTTTGCTTCTGCCATTTTACTGCATGAATACAGAAACACAAACACACAACAGCTCAACTACACTTCAGTTTCTCTTTCCCTGAAAGCAGGTGATTCCTGTTTCCTCGTTCTGTGTTTGAGTCACGTGAGTAAAACAGGTGTGTCTGTGAGTCTGTAAAGCAGTGTCTTCATTTCTGCTCCTGTAGAGTCACATTCACACACACTGTAAAAATCATAGGAAATGAAACACACAATCAACTGTTTAACATGCAAGAGAATCTTTCTCTCATTTTGATTTTGCTCTTCTATAGCAAAAACATTTATTCCAGTGTATGTAAAATCACAGTAAATAACTATAGGATCCATCAGACTGTTTCAGATGCTGGAGAATCTTTGTGTGATTTTGCTCTTTTCTCTGTCATTGGAGGCTGATACAGGTATCTGCTGTTACTATGGTTACTGTGTGATGTCAGACTGTGGCTCCCTCTGCTGGCCACACTGTCAATCACATCCATGAGTGATTAATCACATTCACTAAATCTAGATCACATGAGAATCATTTCAGTTTGTAAAATTTTTCTTTGTAAAAGATTTCTAAATCACTAAATGCTCACAACATTTGCAGAGACAGAATGAGTTCTAAACAACACTGCATAACTTACATTTTATACACTTTAAGAGTCTCCCATCAATAACAGACCGTTTCCTGAGAATGACGAGACAGTTATTATTAACACTGTATATCTAGCAGTTTTTTTCATATTTTAAAGAATATGACATTTACAACACTGAACGTTTTGTGCATTTATGACACTATATTTGGTGTTTTATTACCTTGGCATTAAAAAAAAAACTAGTTACCGCTTTCTAATGTATTGACGACAAGGAGACCGCATGTGGTTGAACTGAACGGGCTTTACTCGTGTGTGTTCAGTGATAAAGATGTTAGTGCAATAGCACCTCACAGCGTACACTCCATTACCACACAACATATAGGGTAGAGTGGGGGAAAACTAACCCCCTTAAGGACTGTGAATTTTTTTCTGTGAAACAAAAGTTAAATGTGTTCAGAAAAGTTATCATAGTTTTAATGACAATTACATAAATTATAAACAAAGTATTAAAAATGTCGAGAGTTTTCATGTTATTAGATTTTTAACAAAAATGTAATTTGTACCAAAGGGGCGTTTAATGCCCCCCAGTCTGACAAAGCAATTTGCTTTAAACATTTACAGCAAAATCAGAGTACAGGCAGTTTTAGCTTAAAATTAAAAATAATATAATCAATAATTATGAATTACAAAACTATGATAGCCTATTTGAAACATTTTGTTAGCTGAATGCTAACTGGCTAGCTAACTACAAATATTTGTATTCAACCAACTAGTTAGAATACATTTAATGGAAAAACAAAGGATTTGATGTTTAGAACAGAATAACTACAGTAATATCCCATTGCCCCTTGGGGGCGTTTTACCCCACTAACTATGTTTGAGAAAACAAATTATGTCATTCTGAAAATATAATTATATTTGTATTAAATAACACGTACTCCCTATATACAGGCCCTACTGTTCTCATATCATATACAACTGTGATGTTCAACAAAACAAGCTTTAAAACACTTTTTTCTTACTGCTGAAAATTAGATAATTTAATGTGAAATCCGTTTTCTCTCCAATACACCACCAGTGTAAGCTTCATGGTGAAAACTTCTGCATCACTCTTGTCAACTTGGTCCATAGTTACAATAAAAATGTATCTTGATTTTATCTTGTGGTTATTTTAGGAAAAACAGTAGGGGCGTTTTCCCCCACTCTACCCTACACATTATACATGACACGCTTGTTTGCATGTTTCTGATACAACGGCAAATTTGACATCTTTCGGTCATAATAACAGTCAGTTAACCGTTTCAGTCATAATAACGATAATAATCAATCTCTTGGTACATTGCAAAGTCACAGAAACACTGTCATTGATTTGTTGTAGTTTTCATTCACCAGATGATTTCCCAACTATGATGACCTCTGCTTCTGAGAACCTCAGAGAGAAGGTCCATCAGACACTGCAAAAACATTTACTGCAAGATCAGGAAATATCAGAGATGTAAACGTTGTTCCATCAGCAGGTCCGGACTGGCCATCGGGAGCACCGGGAGAATTCCCGGTGGCCTGGTGGCTGATTTGGCCCGCTGCCCTGTTTTTGTTTTTTAATAGTGTTATTATTAATAATATTTTATAATTTTGCCTTCCCAATGTACCAAAGTGATCATTTCAGATTGTGTCATTCGATTAATCAATAATAAATCATAAATCGGTTAGTCTTGACTGACAGCACTGCTATCCCTGATAGCACACGTACATCACAGAGACATCTATTTGACGTCTACATTTACATCTGCAAGATGTATTTTTCAGAGGGTTTGCTCATCTGCAATATGTTTATAGGACGTTTCCTATCAGATGTCAAATAGATGTTAAATGTCAAATATTAGATGTCTTTAAGATGTTTATGATTTAGAAAGTATGTAAAACTGACATCTGAAAGACGTCTGTCAGACATTTGTACACAGTAGATGCTTTCCAGATCAAGTGATCTTTAACAGACATCTTGCAGATGTACAGTACATGTGCTATCTGGGATACAAATCGACTCACTTCTGTCCCGCACTTCCGTCAAACCGTTTCGAACCGAATTGATGCGCGGGACTTGAGGAAGGAGAGGAAGCGGCCAGAAGAAGCAGTGAAATGTAGTGAAATTACTGACCTGTTCAGGGCTTCAAGTGCAGGTCAGTTTCATCTGTAAATACACTAGAGTTTTGTCTTAAACCTAGTTGGGTATTAAACTGCTAGCACCTGTCAGGCTATCAGGAGCACCCCATTATTATCATCAGTCAGAATACTGTACTAAAGGACATCATTATCAATTGTAAAGTTACATTGATAAATTTAGCAGACAGATATTCACATGAATTTATTTTATAGGAAGGGAGGGAGCTAGAGCAGACAGCAACACAAAAATATGAGTTAGCCTAATAATGCAATAGTGTGTTCAGTATTAGGATTTTTAATTAAAGATAATATTGTACTAATTTTGACATTTAGGCACTTTAAAAAATGTGTTTTTATATATTTGTATGAAATATAGGTTAATTAAATCTTGGGTATTTAAGTCATTTTAAGATAGATAACATTTTGTGCTAACAAATTGCAATGAGGTCAACATGTTTGGCCGATTTTCTTTTTTTCCCCCCCTTCTCATAAAAGAGAATTTGAGTAAATGATTATTGCAGGGTACAAGATAGTAATAGTAGTAGTAGCCTAATTCATAGTAATACTACATGGCTCAAAACTTAAGCACCTTCTCAAAACAGTTCTGAAGGAAGCTTTTTGTTTATGTTTGTTGACAGACATCAGTGTTTCCCAGAGACCTGCAAATGCAAAATCATTTTCTGTTGGAGCAGGAGAAACTGAGGTTTCCCCGGTAACGGCTGTAGTCAAATAAGAGCTGCGCTCACAAACGCTACTTTATCAGGCATTACAGGAAAGACGAAAGGAAAATGACATCGAATCTTTTCTGAAGACGGTCAGTTCTTTTCAAAGATACATTCATATAAAAACACCCGCGCTGTAATTTAATTTTGAAACGTGCAGTGCTCAGTTTATTCAACGAAGTATTGGCTAAGCCTTTTGGAAAATCTTTTTGTGGCAGTCAGTTTTGATATTGTGATGAGCCGCCACAAATAACTCAATGTATGGGAAACACTTGACACTTCTAGAAGTCAAATGGCCATAGTGATAACAAAAATAAAAGAGTTCACACATATTACACAGCATGCTGCTTAAGAGTGCACTGGCCACGAGCGATGACATCGTGGAGGCTATTGTCGGACTCACAGAAACATTTAATGAGGAAAGTTAACGTACACGTTATAATCAGCCCATAAGTTTAGTCTGAATTGTTTCTACATTCACATGCAAATGACTTGTTGCACTTATGAATATGATAACTTTCCAGCATCAGTTCTAGTAGGGTAAAATGTAATTATGCTTTTGAAACGGTCTGTTTTGAACTGCCATGTCATGTGTGAACATGCCTCACGCAGCCAGAGAGAGAGAGAGATTCTCCGGTACGGCGTTCCGCAACAAAGCTTAGCTGCCCGCAGATGAGCCTACCTATAAATCGGCCTAATTTACAGCACAGTCAGCCAATGCCGATTAATTTAAAAATGCCAAAAATCGTCCCGATTAATCGGCCGGCTGATCAATCGGTCGACCTCTAAACAGTACCCCTGCAAACATGCTCCTGCGGGGCCCATTCTGGCTTTTTGCGGTCACAGTTGGTTAGGGCACGCCCACACAAAACCTAAACAGGCACCAGTACGGGCTTGCCCAGGCGAGGCCCACAGCTTTGGGCTCACCGCAGGCTCTCTGTGAGCAGGCCACACTATGGGACTGTCCACATTAATCCAATGATGGCCCAGTGTGGGCCAGCCCGTTCAGGCCCAGAGCAACTTTTGTACCTTTGGGCCCATGCAGGTTTTGTGTAAGCAGCCCTGTAATGCAACTAGGGGAATACTAACATTGACTGGCCATTCTTTAGTCACTCAATTGGAGTGGAATGGCTCAAACCAAAAGAGACCTTTTCAGAACCTGTTGTTTCATATAGGCCAGAGATCCTCAAATCTGGCTCACAAGATCCTCTTTTCTGCAGAGTTTAGCTCTAACCCTAATCAAACACACCTGAGCATGCTAATAGTGTCTTCAGGATCATTAGAAAATCACAGGTGGGTGAGTTTGATCAAAGTTGGAGCTAAACTCTGCAGGAAAGTGAGTTTAATGAGCCAGATTTGAGGATCCTGATATAGGCCGATTTACTTTTCCGAGGCTGTTTGAAAATGCTCCATTCAGCCAAGTCCTCCTTATTCTGAAGTTGAGAGTGAGATAAAGGTGTGGTTGTGGAATTCAAGAGACAGAGCGGGTGGACAAAGGAGCGCTACCTGCTGACTAGGTGAGAGACCTCGGGGGAAGATTGAGATTCACCAATGAATAATTTAGCACATCAAAACATATTTTCAGCAGAGGTCAAAGTAATAATTTGGTATTTTTTATTTTTATGTTAATTTGTAGTATTTTATATATATGTATAGATAATATGTAGTCTCTTTCAGAGTGTTAAATTAGTTGTATTGACCTGAATTAAATGTTTTCTATTTTGCATATAATAAATCCACTGACTTGAAATCCCTTTGACTACTGTACATTTTTGACAATACAGACATTAGTTATGTGGTGACTGCATCCATTTCAGATGTATAATAATTGTTTTTCCCAAAGACTTAAGTTGTAGTAGCTGAAAAGTATTTATAGTGAAAAAGATTTATTGTTGTAGATTAATAGTGCGGGCCCGGTGTGGGCCTAGTGAGGGCTTCCTGGGGGCTAAGTGAGGGCTGCCCGTGCAGGGCCAGTGCTAAAAGGCCAACGTTTTGCCAATGAGTAAAGTCTCAGAGGCA